TGTGGCATGCACACAAGGAAAAGACAAGAGTTAAAAATGTGCATCTGTGTCAGTCCTAGAAAGAAAATAAACCCCAACATGGAATGACACCCTGTGGCATATCTGGGTAGTACATGTCTTAAGGATGGAAAAACTACTAGACATTTTCATAACAAAACAGCTGCAATGAGTGGCCCTTCTTGCAACACACTTCTGCTGACATTTTAAGGACATAGAGTGAAAACATGGCCAACCACGCATGGCTTTTGACCTGAAGTCTGAAGGATCAGATGCCAGGGCAAAAAGACACAGTAACATTTCTTGATCCTTTCTTCGGCACTCTAGAATCTCTTATAACCAGAACTGACTTTCCTGGTTTTATGAATTGGCCATTTTCTTGCTTGGGAAATGAGATATCTTTCTACTCAGCCTTTGGCAGGTCATAACAGGTGCCGCCCTTAGAAAGACAGATGGGCAATTGCCCAGCCCCTGCCAAAGACACCTGGCAGTATTAATCTAGAAGCACTAATAAAGAAAAAGGGCACTGCACTCCCACCTAGACAGCCAAGGGATTGCCTAATTTAGATGCACCCTTGGTTAGCACAATGCGTGGGTGACCTGGTCTGAACAGCATTGCATTTCAGGTGAAATGATATCTACGCTCACTTTCACACCTTGCTCCCAGATACCTTCTGTATTTCTGGCTCTTCACATTCATCTCTCCTGCTCTGGATAATACATCAAAAGTATGGACATGACATGCTAATATTTTTCTTGCTATTTTATTAGGGCAGTGTTTCTCAACCTTGGCAACAGATGTGTGGACTTCAACTCCTGCTCTGCGTAATGCATCAAATATATGGAAATGATATGCTAATGTTTTTCTTGCTATTTTATACTTTTATACTTCTTGCTGTTTTATACTATTTTTACTTCAACTCCCAGAATTCCACATATCTTAAAGTTGCCAAGGTTGAGAAACATTGTATTAGGGTATTGCCTAGGCACTTTGCAACTTCCCCAATTTCTTCTGTAGCACTCAGCAATTGTGTTTGTGTGTGTGTGTGTGTGTGTTTGCTGTTAACTTTATGGGTACTTTATTGTCATTCCTCATAAATGTAGCAGCCTGTAATGAGGTTTATCATGCTTCTGTCAAATGAATTTAACTATACAGGGGAAAGCAGACATTTTTTCTTAAGGTCTGGACAGGAAAAGTTACTCTCGCACCATCTTCAACATCTGTGTCTTTTACATGTATGTAATTTGAACTTCTGCTCTGGAAATTTATGACAAAAAACATGCACTTGGAAGAATCTGTTTACTCTTCCTGATGAATGTTGTGGGGGTTTGTCCAGCCTAAACAGATGTTTGGCATGTTTCTGATCCTTAATTTTTCCCAGTAACGCTCTTTCACTTCTTGCTTTGCTTCATTAAGTGACTCCAATACTGGAATGATTGGCACTAAGGGAAAAGGATGCTTTTGGATATGGATATGGATATGGATATATATGTATCTCTCTCTGTGTGTGTGTGTGTGTGTGTGTGTGTGTGTGAGTGTGTTACACACAAACACATGCTTTCTATGAGATGGAGCTAAGCATTATGACTACACAGCTGATAGCTGCAGATTAAATAACTGTTAAAGACATAATGGCAAGCAAAGAAATTTTAGGTTCTGAACTTAACTGTCTTAGGTGCCTATCCCTATGGTATTAGTACTGTTGTGATGAGAACTCTTTAGACTGGATGTGCATTATTTCATTTACTTCAAAATGTAGTAAGCTAGGCCTGATGAATTTTGATGGCTTTTTCTGGATGATAGCCTGTCTTGTGCCTCAAAATAATCCCCCATGCACTATCTCTGGACGCAGACATCTGTTATAGGAAATACCAAATGAAAAACTGATTTCCCATAAAACAGAAATATCCAAACTGCTGGACATCTCTATCTCCTGCGGCAATTAACGTTTTATGTAATTAACTTAAGAGTATAAAAAGGTGTCTTGCTTCTTTTCCCTCTTGAATCTGATAATACTCTCCACTTACTGAGTGATCATGAATTCTTTTGTTACTATCTTGTTTCATTTAGTTTGCAGATTGTTAGAACTTGACGTAATGCACCCCTAATTCTAGCTTGCTGCAGTCTCCACATCCACGTTGCGTCCACCAGCGCTTCTTTTCATTATGACGTCAGCACCTCCTGGCAACAGGAGAAAATGGTTTCCTCGGCAACGTAAACAAGAGAGGAGAACAATGGAAGAGGCGGAATGTCGAGAACACCGAAGCCTGCCTCTTGTCCGAAAGCGCCGTGGGCTTGAATTAAATTGGCCAGACGGACTCTCAAGACCTCCTCGACGAATGTTCGCCGCACCGAAGCAATTCAAAGAGAAGCGTTTTATTGGGAGGTGAAGCGACCAGACTGGCAAATAACATACAATAATCACTGAACTGTGCTTTCCTTCTATAGACAGTCATACTTTTCTCCAGTCGGGAGAGAATTCAGGGTGAGCGCGATATGCTTTCTTGAGCTTCCAGCGTGGATGAAAAAGCTACGGTCGAGTTCTTTGAAAGCAGGAAAATCTACAGAAAAAACTAAATATTGAAATTAAACCCATGTTTTTGTGAGAAAGAATTAGAACGAATAATCTGAAAGCTTTTTACATCCTCGAACAAGCCAGCCAGCCAGCCAGCCAACCTCGTGGATTTAGCAGCAACATTCCTGCTCACCCCGATCCATATATATACACCGAGAGACAATCTAGATGTCTCTGGAGTGAGCTCGCCCTGCAAAATATTTACATCTGTGGTAATTCATCTTACATTTCTATCAGGAGGTTTAAAAATATTTTTAGTACATTCTCAGCTCAGTTGCTTTTCTCTCTCTCTCTTTTGACAGTTGATTTATATATTTGTGCTTTCAAGTGCGATATACTCATTCAAGCGCTGATATTTTATGCTTCGGTTTTCTGTATGTAACCTTTCTGGGAGAGGCAGTGGGAAAGAGAAACAATGATAGCCCGAGGCTCTGTTTGAGCGTCAGCAGGATCATATTAAACAGATTGTTAAAGTGTAATTGTGCAGCAGCTCTTGCATGATGGCAGGCTTCAAGGGAAAGAGTCTTTCAGTCTTCAGTTTCAAACGGAATTGAATATGGAATAAGGGTGGTTTCCTCGCCCGCCCACCCTTCAAAGGAAGCTGGCAGCTTGCTTTTTTATGTGACATGGCGATGAGACACTTTGAGCATTTTTACTCACTTGGCAAAGCAGTTTAGATAATTCTGAAAGATGAGACCTGCTACTCCTGAATGAGTGAATAGCTGGCTAGGGAATTCTGGGAGTTGAAGTCCACACATCTTAAAGTGGCCAAGGTTGAGAAACACTGCTCTAGAGCGTCAAAGAACATTTCATCAAACAGGGAGGATTTTTCTGAATGCTTATACTAAAGTCAAGCCTTTGAACCAAGCTTGACTCTTGGTGACTTCGTGGTCACAGCCATGCACTTATCTAGGCATCAGTACA